GCAATATAAGAGAAATCAAATTATGGAGTCATGAAGGGAGTCAGAGTCAGTGAGGGGAACTCAGCAATCCCTATGGTGGTGCCTATGGATCTGGTGGTGCCATGGTGACAGAAACAGGAGAATTTGGATTTCTGAGTTCAAGGCCAGCCTGTTCTACATAGGGAGTTCCAGGCCAGTCTGAACTTCATAAAGAGATTCTGACTCTAAAAAAGTCATAACAAAATCTTTCCTGCCACTGTGGAATGAGGCTATACATCTCATTTCAGTAGTGAATTGGATATAGGACAAGGATGTGGAAATTAGCAACTATGTTCTAAAACAAACATAGGGTCAAAATCCAAAGGAAATTGGACAACTTATGGTGAATGAAAACAATGTTATACAAAAATACAACAATCAAGAAATAAACCATAGACTTTCCCTCACGTCCAAAAGGTCAGGAGTATGACCAGCATACTCCAAATCCTGGACTCAAACCACAGCACCTTAAAAACATATACATAGAAAAATCAGAGGAAGAAACAACTGGAGTAGATCCAGACTGCCATCTATGGGTTTCTATCACTGTGATCTAACACAACTGTGGGAGGGAAGGGTTTCTTTCATCTTAGAGTTCATAATATCATCATTTAGGGGAGTAAGGGCTGGGACCCAATGCAGGAACTGATGCAGAGACCAGGGATGAGTGCTGTTTCCTGGCTTGTCAGCCTTCTTTCTCATATCATTCAGGACTACCTGACCTAGGTTCCCAGCACCCACAGGATGCTGGGCCCTCCCACAACACCCATCAATCAAGAAAATTCACCAGTGTCCAGTCTGCCAGGAACATCTTCTCAATCTAGACTCTCTCTTCCCAGTGGACACTAGCTTGTGTCTAGCTGACAGGACTGGCACATGCAGAGACAGTGGGGGGGGGACTTATGGCAATTAACAAGGTCGTTAACAATGAGGAACACTTGGTGGGTGATCTAGGGGCAGTTGGGGGAGCAAAGGAATTGTAAAAATACATTGGATGGAAAAACTTCTTTTGCCAGGTGGTGGTGGAGGGCGCCTTTAATTCTATCACTTGGGAGGCAGAGGCTGGTAGATCTCTGAGTTTGAGGCCAGCCTAGTCTACAGAGAGAATTCTAAGACAGCCATGCCTACACAGAAAAATTCTGTCTCAAAAAACAAAACAAAACAAAGAAATAATAAGAACCTCCCTACACCTATACAATTCCTTCAAAGATCAGAAAGGGGAGAACAAGCTCCACAGGTACAGTTGTGTCAATGATGTAGCTCAATGGTAAAACATTTGTTTATAGAAGTTTTAAGGCTAGGCATTGAATGATAGCTCTGTGTATGTAAGTTTCAGCCCCATGGACAGGATGACTTCTTTCACCATTCTTTCAATCAGATGCCAGGGTAGGACCAGGTCTGAGCAGCCGAGAAGGATCCTCAAACTCTGCAGATTCCTCCTTTGTGCCAGGGCTACATTTGCTACCCTCTTGTGGCTACTGAGAGACAGCTCATTGGTCTGTGACCTTCATTAACTACAGCATCTCAGGATGGACTGGGGACCCTAGAAGCTAGAAAAGTCATGACATCTGTTATGAGTATGGTGAGCAGTGCTGTGAGGCCTGTACCCTCCTGATTCTATTGATGGGATGTCATATTGTAGAGCAGTTCTGGAAAGCAATAGAGTATATCCAAAACACACACACAAAAGGAAGGAGAAAAACATCCAAAGAAACAATCAGTCTAAGTAAGGACAGTAATGAGACCGGCCATGTGCTTCAGGAGTGCTGCTTCTGACATCATATCCAGGGGATTGCAGAGAAGTGGTGCAGAGATGGCTCAGAGGGTAGAGGGCTTGCTGTGGAGGCACAAAGACCTGAGTTCAGATCTTAGCACACCTAGGCTTTGTGTTGTGTGACACTAACCACATCACTGGTGGTAGAGACTGGCGAAGCCTGAGAACTCATCAGCTAGCCAGTCTCCCTGAAAGGTTGTACTCCATGTTCTCAAATAGTAAAGGTGAAAGGGTGTAGGGCCATGAAAGGTAGTCCGGTGTCTGGTTGAACACTGGCTAGAAACCACAGGGTCCCCTGCAGGGTTCCCTGCATGGTATGGCTTGCATTTCACCATGCTCCCAGACTCTAGGCTGGGATCCCAGCCCTCCTTGGACTTGTGTTCTTTAGTCACATAGGACAACACCCCTTAGTCCCTTCATAGTTAGAGGGCATGACTATAGGCCATGGAGCCTCAAGACAGATCTATGTATTAATGAGGTACCTGAAGACTAGAAGGGCTTAGCCAATTAAGCATTTCTGTCCCAGACTCTCCTTTCAGCAAAAGGTTTTTAACCTCAGGCCTGCCCTGAGAAAAGAGGGGTACAGTTTTTCATGTACTTTCAGCCATAACAATAAACATCTTAAAACCATGGACTGTTTCTTTTATCGGGATCTCTTTTGGGGAACAGAGGAGTTGTCCTTTGTCTAGAGATCTGCTGTCTAATCTCCCTTAGAGGAATTCTTTGTGTTCCCAGCCCGATGCCTGCCCAGGGCCCGAGTGGGGAGAGCACAGTCAAACTTCCCAGGCCTCTGTCTTCCACAAGTGGCCCTAGCCTCAAGGCAACAGAGACATGGGACACACGTCAACCCAACAAAATGGGATATTGGAAGAAACTTGACATTGACCTCTCATATTCTCCCATAGATGCACAGGACAGAGCATCAGCACACACACACACACACACTCTCATACACACACACACACTCATACACACACACTCATACACACACACACACTCATACACACACACACTCATACACACACTGATAGCCTCATACACACACACACATACACACACACACACACTCATACCCACCTAGGCAGGCACACACACACAGATACACACAAAGATAGACACATGTATTCACACATAGACACACAGAGATACACACACACAGACACTTATATGCAGAAACACATACAGACATGGACAACCATACACATAACACATGTATATACAAACACTTTCACACAGAGGGACATTTGATCACACGGATACACACAGTTCACATACAGACCCATGCATAGTCACACATGTACACACAGACATATGTATACATACATGAATTCATAGCATATACATATGCCAATACACACAATCCTACACCACACACACACACACACACACTGCTGACGCACAAATTTACATATGCCACACATAAGTGACTACATGATACACACATGAACACACACACACACACAACTCTTGGGTATGGAGCACTGGAGTGCTCTGGCTGAGAACACATAAGGTGTTGGGATGAAACCTCAACACCACAAGAAATAAAATGGTGATGCAGGTGGATATTAGTGATGCCTGACAAAAATAAAACAAAAAAGATGCTCAGACAAAGGCATCAATCTGCCTGGTATGACAAGGAGTGTGGACAGGGCTGAAGGGTGACCTCAGCTTGGGGTGCTCTGTCCTGCACATTCCAGCACAACTGCTTGAGTCCTGTCAGGCTGTGGGAGTGTAAGACTCTTGGGGAGCCTTAACTTACTGGAGACCTCCAGAGTAAACCATGTGGAGACATGAATCAATGCAAAAAAGCAAGAGGAATCTTAATGATCCAATGCACTGGAGTTGTCCTGCATCCAAAGGAGAGGCGGCAATCCCAGGCAGCCCATTTGGTCAGTTTTTATACATTTTAAGTGATAGACTAGAGAAACAGTGACTAGGCACAATATGATTGGCAGAACAGTGTGACTTTTAAACTGATTAGTCTTTGGGGAATGAGGCAGCAAGAACCTCCCTTGTCTGTAAGTGATAAAAGTTGAGCAGTCCTGTGGACTGCATGCTCTGGGCCTTTATCACCCGCAGGTGAGTTCCTTTCCATGTGGTCTGAAGAACGTTAATCACCTTCTCCCTTCCAGGGGAGCTAGTGTCCTCCTCTGACCAAGGAATGTTAATCACACTCTCCCATCCAGCAAGGGTTCCATGATCTTTCCAAAGTTCCTGAGCTGACCTCTTCAGGAGACCATGACTAAGAGTCTAGGACATATTGATAGCAGTGTTTCTGAACAGCTGGGGCTGAGGGTCATGTGGCTCCATTTACACCAGCAACAAGGTTTAGGCAAGTGGTCCCTGGTTACCTGAGTGTGACTTGGAGCATGTGGAGACAGGTCAGCCATGTGTGTGCTCCATCTCTCTGGCACCCACCAAGTCCCTCGACAGTGAGGCTCACTGAGGTTCACTGTGAGCCGTGTCCTCAGCCTGAGTCACACTGGTGACTGGGAGTCCCACCCTCTGACATATCTGACAGACAGCAGGGAGTGTGCCCGACTCCCTGAGCTCTGCTGACTCTTTGCCTGCTGCTGCTTTTCTTCTCTGTCATTTCTCTGCAGTCAGTACTGTGAGGACAACAGCCTTCCTGTCTCTGGGAGCCTTTCCAGGCACTAATGGTACCAGAGAGTCTTGGGGACCTCCACGTCGTGTCCCCAGACAGCAGCAATGCTGAATCTTAGTCAAGGTGTTATATCTGTATCTGAGACCCATGGAGACCTGGCTTCTGCCTGCAATTTGTCACTGACCTGGTCACCACTAATGGGTCTTTATGAATGACACATGGTCAGCTGTCAGTGAGAACATCAGCGTCTTCCTTCCTTTCTTTTCTTTTCATCCCCTTTGTTCTATTGCTCCTCTGCTCTCTGTTCTTTCTTGCTTAGTTTTTTCTTTTTCTCCAAGCCTTTATTTGTGTTCATGAAATACTATCTCCTCATTATGTGGACTTCAGCAGTCCTAAACATTGCTTTATACCCCAGGCTAGTCCCAAACTTGCCACTCTTAAGTCTCAGGTTCTCAAGTGCTGAAACTGGAGGTTGTGCCTCTGCACTAGACTGAGGTTACCCCATTCCCTTAACACTCAAGTTGTCAATTAAGAAAGGGTTGGAGAAGGCTACAGTGTGGTTGATGACCGTTCTCTGTGGACTGAACACAGACAGTGATGAGATTTAGAATGAGAAAAGGAACAGCAGCCACAAAACTGGTTTATTCTGCATATGACTCTAAGTTAGGGGCTGGACTAGAATTTGTTTCCTGCTAGCGTGTGACTGCACAGAGCTGGTAGGGGGAGGGGCTAACCAGAAACATAAAGATGCCATGGTCACTGGGCCGGGGCTGTCCAGCAGGCACCGAGAAGCTAAAGCGCTGCAGGAGGCAGGTGAAGAAGAGGAAGAGCTCCATGCGGGCCAGGGGCTCCCCCAGGCATGCTCGGCGGCCTGTGGGTGGGAGATGGGCTCAGTCAGTCTCAGACCTGATTTGGGCTCCACTATACAAGGCACCCTGGGGACAGCCAGGCAGCCAGGCACCCAAAAGCACCTGCTGAGAATGGCATGAAGGCCTCATGCTTCACAAAGTGGCCCTGGGCATCCAGGAAGTGTTCAGGATGGAAGCGGAGGGGCTTTTCCCAGACAGTCTCATCCTTCAGCACGGAGGACAGGTTGGGGATGAGGGTAGTCCCCTGGCAGGAGGCACATGGTGTGAACATGGATTGGTGTGAGGCTGCCTAGGCCCTGGTCATCAAGTTCATACGCACAGTCTCTACCACACACACGGGACCCGTTCATGTAACCCCGGCCCTAGAGCCTTCTCAGCTTTCATTAATACTGTGACAGGGATAAGTGATAAGTGACAGATGTACACACACGGTCACCTGTATTTGTTGGTTGTGGCTGTTATAACCACTCCTGCCATATTTTACCTTGCTTGCCTTTCTAGCTGGGGATTCTAGAGTACAGTTCTTGCTACTGTTTTTTCTCTGATACTTACCTAGGGGAAATTGGTTGGATGGACTTGAGAATTTGGTTGCTAAATTCCAGTTCTTCTTAGCTGGGCAGCTCAGGCTAGGAAGTAAAACTGATGAGACACTGGAGGGCCCCAGGCCTACCTTAGGGATAAAAAAGCCCTGCAGTTCAATGTCTCGAGAAGTCTTGTGTGGCAAGTTCATTGGGACAATGTCTGCAAAGCGTTGGACCTCATGGATGACAGCATTGGTGTAGGGCATGCGAGCCTGGTCTGCCATCTCAGGATGCCGTACCTGCCCTATGACCTCATCGATTTCCTGTTGTACTCGGCCTGGAAGGACAACATCCCCTCAGTTAAGAAGCAATAGAGAAGTGCCCTTTGTCCCGCTACTGCTCTCCGTTAAGGACAGGACCCATGGGAGAAAGACAGCCATCACCCTTTCTGGAGTCTGGGTCAAACCAGTATTGGAAGTCACAGGAGTCCCAAGTAAGCTTAAGGAGTTTGCCTCTACACTCCTCCTGCTTCCTTCCCAGTCCCAGCCAGACTCACGCTGCACCTCTGGATGCAGGATCATGAGCAGCAGGGCCCAGGAAAGAGTGATTGAAGTGGTCACAATCCCAGCTCCAAACAGGTCAAGGACAACCAAACGTAGATTTGAATCATTGAAGCTACTCTCAGGGTTCCCCTTGGCCTGGGCCAGAGTGACAGAGTGGACTCAGAATAGAGAGTAAGAAGTCCCACAGTGACCCTGATGACTCCACAGCACAATGGACACCAGATCCACAGTCTCTCACCTTCTCCATCTCAGCCAGAAAGGCATCAGTCAGGTCTCGAGGTGGCTGCTCAGGGTCCCAGGTTCTCTTGTGCTCAGTCACCAGCTTATCCACAACGGTCACAAATGTCTTTTGCCCAGGGAAGACTTTGTCAGCCAACCCTGGGATGCGCAGGAGAATTGGGAATGTGTTCAGAACCTGTAACAGCCAGAGTAAGTGCTAGGACTTTCTGCTGCGTTTAATTTAATGAGTTTAGTAAATAAGATATCTAATAATAATAATCATTATCATTTCAACTTGTGTTTGTGTGCACATGGTATGAGGAATGCTGTTGCCACAGCAAAATGTTGAGATCAGGGAAAATCATAGTCAGTTAGTTATCTTACTACATGGCTTCCTGGAATGAAACTGAAGTGCCATGCTTGCCTGGCAAGCTCCTTTCCCACTGACCATCTCTGTGGCTCCTGGGTAGATGGACTTAATGTTGATCTCAGCCAGTCTTAGTTTCCAGCCTCTTCCATTGTGGACACAGGCCCTATGTGTTCCCACCCATCACCTGACTCCTTAGTTCTAGCCTTCAGGCTCTAGCAGCCTTGTGGTGGACAGGAGAATATTCTATAGGGATATCTCACAGATGTTGGGGGCTTTCATATGGGCAGTGGGCCAGGCTCTCAGCTTCTAGAAGCATTGGTCTTGGTCCACTTTTCCCCTCCCACTGCAGCAGGCTTGTAAAGCAGCAAGCTTCTATTACTGTGGACGACACTTTTAGAGGTCTCTTTTTGAAATCCCCTGTCTTCAGCCTCTTCTGAGAAGCAGGACAGCACAGAAGTGGCTCTTCTGGTTGCCTTTGAGCCTCCTACCTCAGGGATCAAGCCAGTATTTTCTCCCATGTTTTCTTTCAATACTTCTAGCATGTTGATGAAGTCGGGGTCTCCATACTCGAAGCGACGGGCATAAATGAGAGAGGCAATCACATTGCACACAGCTTTGTTGAGGAGGGTGTAAGGATTGAAAGGACTCCCTGAAAGTGGAGATGCAAGTAAAAGTCACAATACTGTCCCTGTCTCCCTGTCCCCACTTGCAGTCCACAGCCATCACTCACCAGCCTGGGTGGAGAAGGCATCACACAGGTGACCAGCCTCCTCTGTCACCCACTCCTCCAGAGATTTCTTGCCCAGGCCAAAGTTGCGCAGTGTGGACACAGAGAATCGCCTCTGCTCTCTCCACTCAAGCCCATAAGGTGCAAGAACCACACCTGTAGACACATGTGTGTGTAAGCAAAGACACTGGCTGTGCTGCCCTCTCCTCTCTTCATTTCTCTTCTCTGGGATCCATGTTCCCTCATGTCCTCACCCTTCTTCCCAATCACAGCTCTATACCACCGTCCAGGATGCTCAGGAGGCTTTACAATAGATTTCAGGGAATTTTGTTGGATTGTTTAACTCCATTACCACCTGCATCATGTCCTGACCTTCCTCTGCTCACTGTCCCCATGTCTGGTTATGATCCCATCTCTGCTCCCACATAGCATTTTGCCTTTTGCTTTGTGCCCATAGCCTAGGTGTTGAAAGATGGGCATTTCAGGGCGGTCAGCAGTGTCCTCTCCACAGGTCACCAGCAGTTCCTGTACTGCCTTCAGTCCATTGATCACGACCACAGGCTTCCAGGCCATCTGCAGGCTGAACACGTCACCATAACGGTTTTGAAGCTGAAGTAGAGGATAGAACACATAGGAAGTGGAGGTCCCCACAGGTTATGCAACCAGGCTCACTGAGCAAACATGGGCAAGTTGTTGAGTGTGCACATGCAGGTTCTAGTGCATATGTGTGTGTGAGCATGCGGGTGTGCATCTACATGCATGTGTGTGAAGGTATGGTTGCATGTCTGTGTGTGTATGTATGAATGTATGTGTCTGTGTGTCTGTATATCTTGCTCGTCATTGAACCTTGGTACTCATATATCCTGGGAAAATGCTATTCACTGAGCTCAATCCCCAGTGACTGATGGCTACCCCTGTGGCATCTTATCCTTTAAGTTCAGCAAACGAATTGTCAGGGGCAGCCTTGCTTATACACTGAAGATCTAAAATCAGCAATAGACCTAAGTCAGCCTGCTAACACAAAGTCTTGGGTCTCTATGGAAAAACACTGAAACAGATAGCTGTAAGATATTGTAAACAATCAGCTTTTGTGGAAATTTACCAGCCTGGATAAGCGCAAGTAGTCATCTGTCTTGATAGACATAGACCTTGGGTAGCTTTGGTGAATAGTACCAACTTAGATAAGGACAAGTGAATCATAGGCAGAGTCATAGTGACCTGTCCTCTGAACCTTCACCCAGCTGATACCCTGTTCTGGAAGATATCTGTACTCTCCCTGAGAACACCTACACTCCTGTGTCATCCCCTTCCCCACATTCTGCCTCTATGTGTATATAACCCCTGTGTGAAAAAATTATAATCATCTGTTTGATCAGACTATAGACAAGCCACTCGTTCATTGTGTCCCCTGTCCTCCAATTCTTTCTTCCAGGTCTTCTGATCCCAGTTCAATGCCCCATGGGACTAGGGCAAGGAATCATAGTAGATGTGACACCTCTGACCTTGCCAGAGCCATAAAACTGTCTTGGGGTCCCTTAGCATGTCAACATACATGAAGAAACTCTGGTTCCTCAAGATGGGGAGTGAGGCCAGAAAGCACACAGCATCAAGAGATTCAGGCAGCCAGAGCCCCTCTCTCCACTCAGTGTCCTGACTGATATGCTATACTAGACCTCCCACCATGCTAAGACCTCATGTTTGACAGGACCATAAGGGACTTGAGACCTCTACAGCTGCTGCCCTGTCCAACCAGACTGAACCTTGCTGTGACATCCTGAGTCAACTCCTGGACTTTGTCCTGCAAAACTTTTGCCCTAGAAAGCTTCAGTTGCTGCCACTAGAAAATTGCTAAGCTTGTCCCTGCTAGGGGACCGGATTTCTGTTTGACTTGTGGCTCAACCCTGATTATGTGCTGCTACAGATGCTATAAGCTCAGTTACCATCCAGCACTAAATCACTCACCTTGTACAGGCTGTATGGCATGTTATCTAGGTCCACCTGGAGCAGATTACCCAGCACAGGCCATGGCAAAGGGCCAGGTGGGTATCGAGAATGCCAGCGCTTGCTTCGGTGCATCAGGTCCACCAGTAATATGAAGATGACTGTGAATATGACCACAGGCCACAGGCCAGTCCCGGTCAGCAGCTCCATGGTTGCTATGCTTCTGCCCAGACTTCCTAAAGGCCAATTAATAACACTCAATACAACTCCTAGGATCAGGAAGCCCCAAGCTTGGATCCTGCAACCTTTTTAAGGAGTAGGCAGGCTTGCCCTTTGTCCTCTGTGTCCAGCCTCAACCTCTGTTTTGTTTGGCCAGGAGGAGTCAGAGATAATCAGTCCCTTCCAAGAGCTGGGTATGATGGGTCTACTGTGCTGAACCTGATAGGCAGATGACTAGTTGACTCCTGCTTCAAGAGGGAAGATCTGATCATTGCATAAAAAAAGAAAAGCCTTGTATGCCACACATGCAAATCTCTGGAATCTTTATGACATTGCCTCAGAGAGCAATGAGACCTCCTAGTCCTTCATGGAGCACTTCGTTGGCAGGACTTGAGGGGTGACTGGCATCCAGTCAATGGCTTCTGTGGGTGTGTATTCTAGGGGAGGCTGTCTTCTGCAATTGAAAGAGGGAAAGAGGCTGGAGCCCCTATGGTCAAGGATAGAGTAGGGGAGGGCAGCTGGAATCCCTTTGGGTAAGTGAGGGCCAGTCTTCTACTTGGACATAGGTATGTCAGTTTGTGCCTCATGCCAGAAGCCTGTGCTCAGGTGGGCAGCTAGGAGGAAAACAGAAAGATTTCACCTGAGCCTTCTAACCTGCATAGATTCAGGACACCAGCATGAATCCTGGTCAGAAAGGAGATTAGGGAGATAATTTGCTTGAGTGCTTTACAGTCTCAATTACGCTCATACCTAAACCACACAAAGACACAACAAAGAAAGAGAACTTAAGACCAATCTCACATATGAATATTGATGCAAAAATACTCAACAAAATTCTTGTAAATCAAATCCAAGAACACATCAAAACAATCATCCATCATGATAGAGTAGGTTTTATCCCAGAAATGCAGGGAAGGTTCAATATATGAAAATCCATCAATGTAACCCATTATATAAAGAAACTAATGGAAAAAACTACATGATCATCTCACTAGATGCTGAGGAACCATTTGACACAATTCACCACCCCTTTGTGTTAAAAGTCTAGAAAAAAAATCAGGAATTCAAGGCCCATACCTAAACATAGTATAAGCAATATAAAGCAAGCCAGTAGCCAACATCAAACTAATGGAGAGAAACTTGAAGCAATCCCACTAAACTCAGGTACTAGACAAGGCCACCCATTCTCTCCCTACCTATTCAATATAGTACTCAAAGTCCTAACCAGAGCAATTAGACAACAAAAGAAGGTCAAAGGGAAACTATTTGGAAAGGAAGAAGTCAAACTATCATTATTTGCAGATGATATGTTAGCATACTTAAATGACCCCAAAACTTCCACCAGAGAACTCCTAAACCTGATAAACAACTTCAGCAAAGCAGCTGGATAAAAAAAATGAATGCAAACAAATCAGTAGCCTTCCTCTGCTAAAAGGATAAATAGGCTGAGAAAGAAGTTAGGGAAAAGACACCCTTCACAATAGTCACAAAAATTATAAAATACCTTGGTGTGAATCTAACCAAGCAAGTGACAGATCTGTACAACAAGAACTTCAAGTCCCTGAAGAAAGAAATCGAAGATCTCAGAAGATGGAAAGATCTCCCTTGCTCATGGATTGGCAAGATTAATATAGGAAAAATGGCCATCTTGCCAAAACCAATCTAGAGATTCAATGCAATCCCCATCAAAATTCCAACTCAATTCTTCACAGACTTAGAAAGAGCAATTCTCAAATTCATTTAGAATAACAAAAAACCCAGGATAGTGAAAACTATTCTCAACAATAAAAGAAATTTTGGGGGAATCACAGTCCTTGACCTCAAGCTGTATTACAGAGCAATAGTGATAAAAACTGCATGGTATTGGTACAGAGACAGGCAGGAAGATCAATGGAATAGAGTTGAAGACCCAGGAATGAACCCACACACCTATGGTCACTTGATCTTTGACAAAGGAGCTAAAACCATTCAGTGGAAAAACAACAGCATTTTCAACAAATGGTGCTGGTTCAACTGGAGTACAACATGTAGAAGAATGCAAATCGACCCATTCTTATCTCCTTGTACAAAGTTCAAGTCCAAGTGGATCAAGGACCTTCACATAAAACCAGATACACTGAAACTAATAGAAGAGAAAATGTGAGAAATCCTCAAACACATGGGCATAGGGGCAAAGTTCTTGAACAGGACACCAACGGCTTATGTTCTAAGATCAAGAATTGACAAATGGGACCTCATAAAACTACAAAGCTTCTGTAAAGCAAAGGACACTGTCAATAGGACAAAAGAGCAACCAACAGATTGCGAAAAGATCTTTACCAATTCTACATCTGAGAGAGGGCTAATATCCAAAATAAACAAAGAACTCAAGAAATTAGACTCCAGACAATCAAATAACCCTATTAAAAATGGGGTACAGAGCTAAACAAATAATTCTCAACTGAGGAAACTCGAATGGCCAAGAAGCACCTAAAGAAGTGTTCAACATCCTTAGTCATCAGGGAAATCAAAACAACCCTGAGATTGAACCTCACACCAGTCAGAATGGCTAAGATAAAAAATGCAGATGATAACAGAAGCTGTCGAGGATGTGGAGAAAGAGGAACACTCTTCCATTGTTGGTGGGATTGTAAGCTGGTACAACCATTCTGGAAATCAGTCTGGCTGTTCCTCAGACAATTGAAAATAGTATTACCTGAGAACCCAGCTATACTACTCCTGGGCATATACCCAAAAGATGCTCCAACATATAACAATGATACATGCTTCACTATGTTCATACCAGCATTATTTATAATAGCCAAAAGCTGTGAAGAACCCAGATGTCCTTCAAAAGAGGAATGGATACAGAAAATGTGGTACATTTACACAGTGGAGTACTACTCAGCTATTAAAAACAAATAATTCATGAAATTCTTAGGCAAATGGATGGAACTAGAAAATATCATCCTGAGTGAGGTAACACAATCACAAAATAACACATATGGTATGCTCTCACTGATAAGTGGATATTAGTGCAAAAGCTCAGAATACCTAAGATACAACTCACAGAACACTTGAAGCTCAAGAAGGAAAACCAAAGTATGTGTATTTCGGTCCCTCTTAGAAGGGTAACAAAATATTCATGGGAGCAAAAACAAAGACAAAGTGTGGAGCCGAGACTGGAGGAGGGATTGTCTGGCTGTATTGAACATATGTTCTTGACCCAACTTTGCTTGCCTATATCCCAGATAGGACAAGCTGCCATGCCTCAAGTTTTTAGACCTTGCTGGACAGAGAATCATAAAGAGAAATTATAATGACTCTTCTATTTTTCTTAAAGCTGACCAGTTATTCGATCTTAATCATGTACTGGTCTAGAAATCAATCCAACATTGGAAATAATAGTCTTCATTTGGAAGGCAGGAAATGGACATTTTCAGAGACGTATTTGGAAGTTAGCTGCAGTTCTCTATGATGTTATGGTAGCAAGAGTTAAGGTTGGGACAGGATCTGGCTTTCAAACAAAGGTTAGTGCATGTGTTAAGGCTCTTATAATTGTCAAGCTAAAATTGGTTTTGTCTCTTCTACAGTATTTATTGTAAGTTGCATTGACTAAATACTTTCTAATTGTGTTAGTGTGTTGAAACCTGGCATGTTTGTTATGGGAGTCTATCAACTAGCTTTTGTCTTACTGCCATGAGTATTAGAAAACCTTGACTCTCTGAAAAGAGCTTGAAAGTGCTGGAAGAAGTGAGTTAGGCTTTAAGCAGAAGCAAAGGGGTAGTGGGCTTGATTATTGCTGGTATAACAGCTTTAATTTCATTAATTGCTAGCACCCCTGCTTCTGCAATAGCTTTGACACAAGAAGTTAAGATAGTTACTTTTGTTAATCATCTAGGAAAAAAAAAGTTACTAATCTTTTGAATATACAAGAGGATTTATATAGGTGTTTGGAACAATGGATTGATGCTCTATATCCTATTCTAATTATCAGAAGAAGTTTCAGGGTTTAAGAGTTAGGAGCCATCTCGAGTGTCATGACAAATAACTTTGGAGTGGTGTTACTTCTAAAATTGACTATGATAGTCATTATAATTAGATAAAAGTTTAAAGACACCTGTAGGGTATTTGGCATAATTCTAACACCTCTCTGGTTGTCATAACTTTGTATAGTGAGATTACGAATTTAAAGAAAGCTGGTCTGTTGAGCTTTGATGCTGCAGACAATGCCAATAAAATTATCCATTGCTTAAGGTCAGTATTTCTATTTTGGTCAAACCTCAAGAATGGCATATATAGCTTGATCAGGTTTGCCCCTTTTGTTCTAGGGATTCTTTTATTCCTGCCCATCGGGTTAAAACTTGTCTCTAGCTACATCAACAGGTTGGCAGTCAAAGTACATGACTTGAAACTGAAAGTGGACCCCCAGACAGAGCTATTATTTTAACAGGCTGGCAAGTCAAGGACGGGTAAGATTCTGCACAGAGCTTTACCAACCTAAGACAGGTTTATCTGCTTTATGCAATAAAAAAGGGGGAGATGTGGAGAGCTTTTGGGCCTGCCTGACAGGAATCTGATGTTGGCCAAGGACAAGGAAATGGGCTGCAGGCAGGATTCTGACATTAAGCTAAAACAAAGAAGTAACTTCAGGCAGAAATCTAAATCCTAGGCTAGAACAAAGAAGTAATTACAGGCAGGACTCTAAAACTTAAGCTAGAACAAAGAAGTAGGCTTCAGGCATGAAAATGACTTTGGTCTAGGTCAGAGAAGTAGGCTCAGATATTTTGGTCATCCTGATAAGGCGTTAGAAATAGTGATTACAGGAGTGGTCACTGGACTCTGTTTATTGTCCTTTGTGTTCCTTGACTATCTGGGTTTATTGTCTTGCTTGTTCCTTGACTATTTGCATTTTTGTATTGCTAGTTCCTCAACCTAGAATTGACCTTAATACTTACATGTAATTTAAACGATATAAAAGCAAAGAGGAGGAGGTATGGGATAGAGGTTAATGAGAGGGGTGGGGAAAGGGGATAACATTTGCAATGTAAATAAATAAAATATTGAAAAACAAAGATGTTTATTGTCATGGCAGAAAAAAGAGGAAAAACTAT